GGGGAAGGGGAGTTGTCTGTGTCTGCACATTCCAACTGTGTTATATAAATCATTCAGAGCATTGTGAGAAAACATAAGAAACATCTGACAGCGATTCAGACCTTGTGCATCTGGGTTTCAGGAGTAAGACAAAGGCATGCGAGATGCTTGTGGCCGCTGAGTCGCGTGATTCGTGCTACTCGAGCTGCTCCGAGGAATCGCATAGTTCGCTTTCCCGAGAATCATCGGACGATGTTGCGAAGGAGATCGAGAAACTGCACGTTAGAAACACCGATTCAAAAGTATCTCCCGCTTCTGCTGCGGTCATCGAGAGCACAACGCTTAAATATACTTCATTTGCGACAAGACTGGGTTATTCCGTAAAACAGTTACAGACGGTTGTTGAGAAACTTGGAGCCAGTGCAGTTGAGGTGAAGTTCTGCACTGCTTTTATTGTTACGTGTGATAGGTGCTACGTTTATTTACCAAACATGATGCATACATATATGCAATGCGTTTGGTTCTGACATAAATGAGATTAATGAACTAATTTACAATAATCGTGAAAGAGGCGTGTTGCCCTTATTGTTTTTATGTGTTTTTTTATTTGCATCTATGCAATGCAAAAACTATGGGTGTGTGTGTCTGTGTGTGTATCTGTGTGTCTGTGCCGAGTTTTTATCTTGAGACCTTAAAAAGCTACAAGGCTGAAACTTGGGCAACTCAATCTACACCTATGTACGGACCTCTATTCTCGAAATGAACGTTCACGTCCACGTGGTTCTCACTCCCTGCTAAAGTATCTGGCCAGTCTTTAGTAGTTTCGAAATGGCCTTGGATTGTAATGGGCATCATAACCTCGTTTCGAATGCTGCCATTCTTAAACTGCAATATGGTACTTTACCGAATTTTTTTAAATGAAGGTAGAATAAGTGGAAATTAATTCATATCTGCAAAAGATATTCGTCCGTGCTTCGCAGGGCGTATCACAATGAAATGCTGCATTTGTTGACTATTATTTAAAAGCAGAGAGCGGTTTTTAGCAAAGCACATATTTTGCCTTTGTCACTGATTTTTCTTACTTTCATTTAGGATCAGATACTCAGTGAACTCATTAAGCTAGGAAATGGTGCTTCAGACGACGAGCACTCAAACGAGGCAGATGGTACCCCTCCAGAAACACCAGTGCTTTCACCGTTTCGCAGTATCGTCATTGACGGATCCAACATTGCTATGACGTTCGTTTCAATCTTGTCCTTTTTCAACTTTTGGCAATAATCCTTTTTCAACTTTTGGCAATAATTTCGGTTAACCCAATCCAATCGCTTTCAAATTGATAGTCTGGCGATACTGGCTTGCAATTATAGCTTCAGTTTCGCAGTTTTTTTTTTTTT